AATCACCATTTACCTGCTAATTCTGTCTTAAAAATCGCTAAAAAAAGGTAACTTACTCAATGTTCAATGTAACAAGGGAGATGATTATATATTTTCGAGTCAACAATATCACGTGACTGATCGCGTTACTCGCACAAGGACAAATTATTTGCTTGAAATAAAGGAAAATCGCGCTTTGATTGCTTTTCTTTTTTCTTTCAAAGAACCAGTTTAAATATCTGTACTTTGTTTAGCATTAGCTGTTTTCCTTTATTGACGTTTTGCAAGTAAAGGACAGATTAAAAAAACATTTTTGACATTTTTATAGCACTTGAAATATAGAAAGTCGCTCTATGAACGGGACAGACGGAGAGTTTTTTTTTTTTTTACGAGAATTAGAGATCGTTGGGGAAAAAGCTACATCTTATTACGTGAAATTGTCTATTTTCGTACTCAAAAGAGAAAAATACAGCGTTTATGGATTGCTTCAGGAGCGTAGACTGTTCCAAAGCATGAAAAGAAGACACGGGTTGACTCCTGAGAAGAGGGTCTCTCTCAAAATATTGCTGATTAGGTTGAGGTCGTATAAAAGGAGGGAAGTGTATCAGAGAGAGTTAACCAACTAAAAGAAAGAGCTTGACGATACTGGCATCTCTGTTTGAAGTCACCAAATCGCACGCAAGAGCCCCGTCAAAGATGTTTGCAATTTGTTGGCAGTATGGTTTCATGCATGGTTAGTACATTTTTACGATTCATCAAAGCGGAACGAACATACAAATTGGCACTTGCTTCTAATATATCTGCCCTTGCAACTACGACGCCGCATTTTTTCTCATTGGACAGACCTGTAACTATACATGATGGCTACCAGTTTACCTTGCTGGTATATGAAGCACCTGGAGTCACAACACTCAAAAGTGTATCAAGAATTTGTTGCTAAAAATCACTCCATTAGCCGAAACGATCAGGTATTTTCTCGTGTCTTAGCTGACACAACCCTGGAGCAATCTACCTAGCTGGCTCGAAGTTAAAGGGTGGGAGTGTTGGCATATCTCAAAGTCCACGATCGCTAGAAAGATTGTTTCTAACTATTCACCAAAGAGCCTCATAGATGTGAAAAAGATGTGTGGTTCTGACAGAAAGTGACCACGTAACAACACAAGAAGGCCGCATCGAAGAGATTGACGCGCGATTAAGAAGACGTCAGGAAGCTTGTTGACTATTTTTCCCTTGTCTGGTTTATTGAGTAACCCTTTCGTCCAAGAAATGGAGTCTCTAGTCAACTTTGCTACCGGCGTAGAACTGACTTCAAATGTTGCAGAGGGACTTGTTAGAGTAATGAAAAAGGTCGAGAACAGACGAAAATCTTTGAACACTAATACTGTAAATCTTTGGGATCCTGTTCCAAGCTTGAAGGTAAATACATTTAGTACCATGTCCGAGAGAATGTTAAGGCTGCAGATGACAAGTTTATTACTTTATAACGCTGACAAAGACCTCTTTGGGCGGCTACATATTAACAACCGTCAAATCAATTTGAAGGAAGGTTTTTGCTATGAGCTGTCCCTAATTCCATGCGCACTCGCACACCAAGATGGCAGCTTGTGAAAACCTTAATATAAGAGTATTCTATATTAACCACAACTGAGAAAGAGGTCAACGTCGTGGAACATTAAGATAGTTACCATTTTTTAGTGATTTTTTAAGAAAGAATTAGGAGGTAAATGGTGATTCAGGTTCCTGCCTCGTTTTCATGCTGGACCGTAAGGTGCGTGAAATAAAATCGCGATTTACTCGAAACCTATACCACAAATTAACCTTACAAATTATTAGGCAATAATCAGGAGGACTTGATCTACCACAATCCGGTATCAGACCTTTTCTGACCCGTGGGTTGAACGAAACGACAATTTTCCGACTTCGGCTACTGGACTAAACTGCTTCTGCGTTCGATTTTGTGGTTAGATCAATGCATTTTTCTATCAGACAGCTGAGGAAGAAAAAGAAGAAGAAGAAGAAGAAAAAGAAGAAGAACTCCCAAGATACTTTTATTTAGCTAGGGTAACTCCTACAGTTACAAAAACTGATACCCGTAGAGGCCCTAGATAAAAAAGAAATTCTAAAATATGTTAAAAATACTTAAAACTAGTCCTAACTAAAATAAGCTAATAGAAAATATCCTTAAAAAAGGATAAACATTATTACAAACTATTAATAAAAACTACAAATTACGATTAAAAACTTCACATCCATGATAATAAAAAGCTTTTTTTTCGTACATTTTCTAGTGGACGTCGCATGCTGATGTGTCACTAAGACGCCTATGAATGCCGATGGCAAAGAAAATGGGTTAAAGCTGTTTTATAACAAACAAGCAACGAACAAGCGCCACGGTGCTTATTAAAATTTTCATGTCTCAAATGCGGTGCTTATTCTCGTTACTCGCACAAGGACAAATTATTTGCTTGAAATAAAGGAAAATCGCGCTTTGATTGCTTTTCTTTTTTCTTTCAAAGAACCAGTTTAAATATCTGTACTTTGTTTAGCATTAGCTGTTTTCCTTTATTGACGTTTTGCAAGTAAAGGATAGATTAAAAAAACATTTTTGACATTTTTATAGCACTTGAAATATAGAAAGTCGCTCTATGAACGGGACAGACGGAGAGTTTTTTTTTTTTTTACGAGAATTAGAGATCGTTGGGGAAAAAGCTACATCTTATTACGTGAAATTGTCTATTTTCGTACTCAAAAGAGAAAAATACAGCGTTTATGGATTGCTTCAGGAGCGTAGACTGTTCCAAAGCATGAAAAGAAGACACGGGTTGACTCCTGAGAAGAGGGTCTCTCTCAAAATATTGCTGATTAGGTTGAGGTCGTATAAAAGGAGGGAAGTGTATCAGAGAGAGTTAACCAACTAAAAGAAAGAGCTTGACGATACTGGCATCTCTGTTTGAAGTCACCAAATCGCACGCAAGAGCCCCGTCAAAGATGTTTGCAATTTGTTGGCAGTATGGTTTCATGCATGGTTAGTACATTTTTACGATTCATCAAAGCGGAACGAACATACAAATTGGCACTTGCTTCTAATATATCTGCCCTTGCAACTACGACGCCGCATTTTTTCTCATTGGACAGACCTGTAACTATACATGATGGCTACCAGTTTACCTTGCTGGTATATGAAGCACCTGGAGTCACAACACTCAAAAGTGTATCAAGAATTTGTTGCTAAAAATCACTCCATTAGCCGAAACGATCAGGTATTTTCTCGTGTCTTAGCTGACACAACCCTGGAGCAATCTACCTAGCTGGCTCGAAGTTAAAGGGTGGGAGTGTTGGCATATCTCAAAGTCCACGATCGCTAGAAAGATTGTTTCTAACTATTCACCAAAGAGCCTCATAGATGTGAAAAAGATGTGTGGTTCTGACAGAAAGTGACCACGTAACAACACAAGAAGGCCGCATCGAAGAGATTGACGCGCGATTAAGAAGACGTCAGGAAGCTTGTTGACTATTTTTCCCTTGTCTGGTTTATTGAGTAACCCTTTCGTCCAAGAAATGGAGTCTCTAGTCAACTTTGCTACCGGCGTAGAACTGACTTCAAATGTTGCAGAGGGACTTGTTAGAGTAATGAAAAAGGTCGAGAACAGACGAAAATCTTTGAACACTAATACTGTAAATCTTTGGGATCCTGTTCCAAGCTTGAAGGTAAATACATTTAGTACCATGTCCGAGAGAATGTTAAGGCTGCAGATGACAAGTTTATTACTTTATAACGCTGACAAAGACCTCTTTGGGCGGCTACATATTAACAACCGTCAAATCAATTTGAAGGAAGGTTTTTGCTATGAGCTGTCCCTAATTCCATGCGCACTCGCACACCAAGATGGCAGCTTGTGAAAACCTTAATATAAGAGTATTCTATATTAACCACAACTGAGAAAGAGGTCAACGTCGTGGAACATTAAGATAGTTACCATTTTTTAGTGATTTTTTAAGAAAGAATTAGGAGGTAAATGGTGATTCAGGTTCCTGCCTCGTTTTCATGCTGGACCGTAAGGTGCGTGAAATAAAATCGCGATTTACTCGAAACCTATACCACAAATTAACCTTACAAATTATTAGGCAATAATCAGGAGGACTTGATCTACCACAATCCGGTATCAGACCTTTTCTGACCCGTGGGTTGAACGAAACGACAATTTTCCGACTTCGGCTACTGGACTAAACTGCTTCTGCGTTCGATTTTGTGGTTAGATCAATGCATTTTTCTATCAGACAGCTGAGGAAGAAAAAGAAGAAGAAGAAGAAGAAAAAGAAGAAGAACTCCCAAGATACTTTTATTTAGCTAGGGTAACTCCTACAGTTACAAAAACTGATACCCGTAGAGGCCCTAGATAAAAAAGAAATTCTAAAATATGTTAAAAATACTTAAAACTAGTCCTAACTAAAATAAGCTAATAGAAAATATCCTTAAAAAAGGATAAACATTATTACAAACTATTAATAAAAACTACAAATTACGATTAAAAACTTCACATCCATGATAATAAAAAGCTTTTTTTTCGTACATTTTCTAGTGGACGTCGCATGCTGATGTGTCACTAAGACGCCTATGAATGCCGATGGCAAAGAAAATGGGTTAAAGCTGTTTTATAACAAACAAGCAACGAACAAGCGCCACGGTGCTTATTAAAATTTTCATGTCTCAAATGCGGTGCTTATTCTAGGCTGCTCTTATTTTAAAGTTGGGGGCGACAAAGAACTGTTTCTTTTCAGCAACCGATATTATTTTATTTTATAACAGAAACGTCTTTTGGTTTTGATTGCATCGGGGCCGCGCCGCGTATTTGGGGGTGGTGCTTATTGACTATTTTTGTCCCAAATGCGGCGCTTATTTGAGGGCGGCACTAAATCGGAGGCGGCGCTTATTCGAGTAAATGCGGTATTTTATCATGAAATTTTGTTTGTTACTTGGAAACTATAACGGAAACAAGACTTCCTAGGGTTCCGTAAAAGTTCTAAAAGTCGGTCGGTCTGATTTTCATCTCAGCTCTCTTGACAGAGTACTGAAGTCCTTTCCATGTATACCAGATGATACCTTGACCTTTATATGAATGTGAACCGTTGTAATACAAACCATTCAGGTTTGAATCATGGCACTTACTGTACCACCAGGCTCCTTGGTAATACAAAGCGCAGTTGGATTTGGAAGTATCATGATCTCGGTCTCTAGTGGAAAACGGATAGCCACGATGCACCCGTAATGAGTCACCAGCAGTTCCTAGAAGTGATACAAGGACATTTTACAAGGAATGTTTAGAGTAGAATACCTGAATATAATCTAGTATTGAAGTACAAGAGGGGGGCTACGTTTGGAAAAGTAACTGAGCTCCTTTTGAAACTTCCTAGATTTTCAAGTTTGCAAGAAGTCAAGAAACCGCTAACAAACAAGCTTTGAACGAATAATTAAGACACGAAGACAAAATATTATACATCAAAATTAAATACATTCCAAGCACGATACCTGAGTACGTTCCTAGACTGAGCTTGTATTTAGTCGTTTCGTTTTTGACTGCAAACATGTTATATACAGCGTAAGCAGTGCTCAATGTAAAGTCCTCCAGATCAACTCGAAGGCGGTCGCGTTTCTTTTCCGTCAGGCGGTAAATCTTGTCCAGTCCAAGCCAGAACTCACCATTCAGGTCACCAAACCCATTTTTGTAGTCATCCCAGTAACGGTCAAAAGAAACCGAGCCGTTCAGTCTCTTCTGGAACACTGTCCACCCTCCTCCGGATGTTTTTTGATCACAGAACACATTAAAGGCACCTTCACCATCAGGGTCGATTGTGTACACACCGCTGATTGTTTTGCCAGCTTTGTATAGCTCAGCACAGTTCTTATTAGCTGTTCAGGAAAGATGACCTTAAAATTATTTAAAATAGAGAGGAGACGTGTGACGTCACGTTACCGTGGTAGCAAAATTACCAGATCACAACAATAGGGAGCTTGGGCAACGGCAACGAGAAGAGCAAAAAAAGCAATAATTGCCAATTTGGGGAGTGCGTTCGGGGGGGGGGGGGGGTGGGGTGAGTAGTGAGTGGTAGTCATAAGGGGGTGCAAAACTTAAATGAGCTTGTGAGATTGAGAAATCAAAATAACATGTGTATTTCGGATCTCCTCAGAATATTAGTGTGCGACATGTATGACAATATGAGTCAGGGAAAATTTAACTCTTTCAAAGAAGTCAGAGGGAGGAGACATACTGACAGAAGTTAAACATGTTCCATTGGCAGAATATTGTTTCAAGAAATTAAACGACAAGCAGATATAGGGTTTCCTATAAGATCTATCCATTCTGCACATAAATTCATGTAATAAATGGGTGGAGAGGATGGCCGGCTGTGATGGGAGTTTGGTCATTTACTTCGTGTACCCGACACAGATGACGTAAAACAAAAGAACCAATACCATGAAACAGTACCAAGCAGATTTTTTCCCTGAACAGACAACAAAGAAGTCTTTTGTCTTACGTCATTTGTGTCCAGTACACGAGGTTTTGACCGGAGTTTAGAAGCCATTGTCTGCACAAATTGTCAATTCATTTGGTCAGGAAAGTGTACATTTGGCTGTCATGAACAGTCTAGGAATTTCAAAAACTATGCTTCTGGCAGCCATGTCTCAACAAGCTCATGCATGTTGAGAATTGAAAAACTGACTACCTTCAACATGACTTGTACGTGGACATTTTATAATTCACTCTTGCGTTTAATAGTCATGATCACTTTCATAATTCTCATGAACTGCACCCTTAAGACATTGCTACATGTAATTTCTATTTCAGTGATTATGTTTGCACCTTAATTACCGTTACTTAGAAACATTAGTTGTCAAGTGTGATTATGAACTAAAACAAGTGCGAACACCCTCATTGCTGTAGTTCACTTAACAATATAATATATTTTTTCCTTCAATTACCAGCATTTACTTGTTGTTTTCACCGCACCATAATCTCCCACCATTTCATCCAGTCACTACTACTGACAGACTTCACAAATAGTGAATTATAATTACACTTATTATTAGAGATGGCATCTAACCCAAATATTAAGCAAATGCAACTGCATATTAGCTTGCAGTTATTCACTATCACACCCATTTCCTTTTGACTATAATTACACATGTAGAAGGGTCAAATGGGGTGAACACGGTACTAATGCAACATTGGCTACCTTTCCTCGACAACAGCAATCCCATTTCAATCCCAGAAGATCCTTTTAGTTAAAGAACTGGGTCCAAATTTAGTCCAACCAAAAGGAGATTAAGTACATCTCACCTTCCAACAGTGTTCCAATATTAGTCATATTAGAGCCAGTGTTGAATCCCGCCCTCCTCAGCCTCACATTTCACCAATTCTCTCCCGCCCTCCCATCCCTGTCATTTTATGAGCCTGAGCCTCTCGAAGTTTTGCGATACACATATTTCTAGTTAAAGACGTAGTTTATCGATCTGGCTTGTCAATTAAGTCGTGATGTTGTTGTTCATCTGTCAGTTAAGCCGTGATGTTTATGGATATGATGATATTGTTAAACACCAGTTACGGACGAACCACCAAATCGACACTGACCCTACGACCTGCCTTACGTATTACTCAGACTGCTATCAACGATTCACTTTAGAAAGCTGATTTACCAACTGGGAACAAACGCGGCTGAATCGTAGTCAGAAGTTACCGGCACCTTCAAAACGACTTATATCAACGGACTCAAGCAAGACTGGCTTCAGTAGAGTGAATGGACAACTGACAATTTGAATAACAATAAAACGACCGTTGTAACTGTGACAAAAGATGGATTGAAATTAGAGTCCTCACAGCCAATAACCGACAGACGACCAATAACGCTGCAACTAATGCACCATTCAGGACAGTCAGAATTAAGTCAAATTCAATTTCTTGCGCTTCCCGCACGCTTATGTTTAGAGGCAGGAGGGGCCATTTTTGCATCAACGAGTGTAAGTAGTTTAATTCTACAATTGTATCCAAAAATCCTTATGACGACAAGGTTAAGCCATGAATTACTCCTCGCGGAGAGAGAATGGAAGGCCCTCGCGTAGCCGAGGTTCCTAACTCGCGCGTGGAACGTGCGAGCTTCGCACCGCGATGCAGAAACAAGAGTAGGCTCAATAAATATCTCCAACCCCGTCAAGCAAGTTTAACTTAAGTGGCACACTGAGTTTCGCGAGGGTTTAGGAGACACGTATTTCTAGTGTATATATTTTACAACTGAAGTTTGAACAAGCAATGCTACGTACCCTTTCCAACATGCGTTGGTGTAGAATGGCCCACATTGTAGGTAGGGGGACGGGCTGAGCAAGTCTAGGTTTATTCGCGAGCGACTGTTTGTTTGGTGTGTGTGTGGGGGGGGGGGGTGGGGGGGTGCGTTTGTGTGTGTAAAAAAAGTGTTACAAGAACAAACTTGTCCCAAGACTTTTTTCCATGATTGTAGGGTAATCTTACGCTAGAATTGGTAGAATTCTCATGATACAACCCCTTTCTAATGAAACGTAACGGGACCACCTCGGGTTCTCCTATCAAGCAATTAAGACACTCATTCCTTCACAGAACTTCATAAAACTTGCAACCTATATCAATGACTATTACTACATAAAATTAATTTTCTCTTCAAGATAAATATGCTTTCGGAAAAGGAGTGATCAGTTTGGTTACAACTTCTACTCTTTACTTTCTGCAAGTTGGCTTCACCCTACCTTTATCAAACACTCTACTTTCTCCTCCAGTTTGATTTACTTTCGAAGCTTTTATTTCATGTCTTAACTCGATCAGCTGTTGTTTTACCTCAGCCATACCTGCGTAACAGATAAATAATGAGTTGACATTAAAGCATCTAATACCAATTTGACCAGAGACATATATGGTAGAAGAAGAAGCACTTTTTGGGTTTGCTACAGGGTAAACACCCCGCTATAATCAAGGAAGAACTGGTTCACGCTTATCCTGAGGGTCAAACGAGTTATAGAGGCACGCGGGAAGTTTAAACCGGCAAGAGAGAAACGCGTAAAAAAGGGGCTGTGTCGTCGTTGATGGCTGTCCATTTCATTTTGTTATTTATATTGCCAATTACGTACATAGCCTGCGAGCAAGCTCTCAATTACCAATTACGCTTCCTCATCCGCTATGAATTCCTATTTCGGATTCCAAACGCAAAAATTTCCCGGATTCCAGAATCCCGATTACCTTACATTGGGCGATACATTCTAAGTACCTAAAATATGCTGTTTGGCGTTTAAGTCGTTCGTATCATAGACTTAACTGTTTTCATGCTAATGTTAGTAGATTTAAAGTGCAGGATAGTCTTTTCCAGCTGTATCAGTAATGATTAGATTATTTTCAGCGAAAAAGCCTCAATTAATGCCTTAAGAGGGATTACTGCGGTTCCTCGAAGACTCCTCTCGATATCTTTCAAAGTAAAGATAAGAGAATTCAAAGCGAATAAATCAATATCAATTCAGTTTTAGGACACCATTTCAAGACTACATACCAAGAATTAGCGGAATCGAAGTATCGGGGTATAGGGGTAAAACTCGAATCTAATTTTAATTCGAACTTTGAGCCTGCCAGAGTTACAGAAAATCACTTCAAATTAGTATCTAAAAATTACCTTTCGTTTCACTTGCTCCTGTAGGCATCATCCTTATAGTTAAAATCAATGTAGCAACCATTGTCAAGAAGGATAAGGCCAGAAAAGCTATCATAGCGGATAACATATGACGACTTATAGCAATATTTTCCGGAGGTTGTTGTCGTCTTCTTTCATCGTTTTCATGGTAAATTTGGTTTCCTGCTAGGCCTTCGGACAGTGAAGACTGGATAGTGAATAACTGTAGGTGATCATAAGGATGTTCATTCTTGGGTTCAGCTCTGGAAGCCTGCATCCTTTTGGTTGTGACGAAAACTCTGAGTAAGAGTCTTCTTCAAGGTCACAGTTTGTAGTGAATGACACTTGTAATAACTTAGTGCCTAACTATTCTCATTTATATGATGTCACGGGAAAATAAATTTTCCGGTTTTCTTCGGTGGTTTCTTTTGGCCATCAAAAAAGGACATCCGGTTTTTAGCTCATGGATGACGTAGTCATATCGAAATGGTATATGCTGTATAATTTTGTTGTTTCCGTTCATAATTCTTTCTTTTTTAAATTTGTTGTAGTTGTAAAAATCTTTATTGTAACTAGACCGATGCCTCCCTTTGGAGAGTAAGGTGCAATAAAGATATACTATACTATACTATACTATACTATACTATACTATACTACACTTATTCACTCACTCACTCACTCACTCGATTCTTATTAATTTATTCATTAAAGTCAGATTAAAACATTTACTCTTACCTCCCTTACTTAGTATTACTTTTGTTCTAAGTGCCTTTTACGCATATGTTTGGAATATTCTAGAGGGTACTAGTAAGGCGTACATATTTTCCCGACACATCATACAGTAGCGAGCCTAGCCGAAGATGGGTTTTGTATGAATTGAAATATTCAAAAGAACAATGACAATGATCATCGGCAAGAAATAAACTTGGAGTTGTTAAAAGGACGTTGAAATAAGTGAGCGTGGATCATTGTATATTTGGACGAACTGTGCATGCTTACTTTATTTATCAGGTTGATGGAGACGATGCGATCGACAGGAGTGTGAAAGAGCTATCGCAGCGTGACTGTGACGATGGGATTTCGCTCAGTGAAAAGCGAATAATAAGCCCTAGCTGCCGAAAAAACGGTCCTCGAATTGTTAAAGCGACGTTGAGGAGTATCTATTGTGGTTTATTGCTATCTGGACAATTTTGCTTGAATTCTGTAAAAAGGTGATCTTTGTCCCCGAGATCTTTGCCCAGTAGGCTGTTTGTCGGTGATTCCATTTATCTACAGGAAACGCTGCGCTGGAATAAACAAGTTTCTAGAATACTCAAGTACAAAAGGGCAATCGGATACTTTGGCTGCGTTAAATTACTTAGCTAGATCAGAGCACGTACACCCTCGAGCTCAGTCCGTTTATTAAAATAATTTGTAGCTAGTGTTTAGCAAAAGCGCGTTCTGTATTCTGTATTTAATAGCTCGTAGTACATAATACTAACAGTTACGTCCCGGGAGTTACGTACTCTTTGCGAACAGCATATGGAAACATTTATTTAAAAACCCTCGAGGTCCATTTTAAAACAACTGTTTAAAACCACGATTTGAATAAAACTCGGCCTTGTGTAAGGTAGCTAGTTAACAAGAAAGTGCACTATCGTTCGGAAAGTGTTTGGAAGTCACATGAGAAAGCAAATTATTTTACAACTTAAAAGCGTTAAATTAATAAGTTTAAAGTGATCTTTGCGTTAAGCAGAAATGCTACGCTTTAATAAGTTTGTAGAATATTCAGGTGAACATGCAATCGGATACTTCGACTGACAACACGTACAGCTTCGGGCAAGGAAGGGAATCTCCCTAGTCCTTGGTGGAAAGCGCGAGTGCTATAGAGATGCCAAAAAGTTACCGACGAAAGGTGACGAAATGCTTAACACTAAATGCCAAAAGCAGATGCCAAAAAACAAATGCTAAAAACTGTATGCCAAAAAAAAACCTGCTGAAAATCAAATCATAAAGAAATGTAAACATGATCTATCAAGTATATCAACACACAGAAAGTCATGAAAGATATACAAAAAAACGAAGGAGAAAAGTGAGTCTGTTACAGTGCCCAAGCAGTTTAAAACACCTGAATCTCAAAATGGAATGTTTTTTTCTACACTGATTCAATTCATCCATGACCTCGCCCCTAGGAGCAGTTGATTACTTTCGTTTTTAGTCTTCCTGCCTCGCTGGAAAACGGAATTGGAATTGGCATTTCATTATTTTTATTGTTATTATTTTTGTTTTTATTTTGTGAGAGGCTTTTCCCTTTTTTAATATGCATGGACGCCGCTACCAAATCTGTCTCTCTAATGCCCGGTTGAGACGCCATACTTTCACATGAGCCGAATCGAATTGAATATAGGACGACTCATTCAGAAGCCGATCTTCATTTCAGCCGAACTAAGATTCAAAAGGGTAAAACGCGCATTTCTGTTAACTACATTATAAAACTTATTCATTTAGTTGGTATTTCATTTACTTTCCAACTGATTTTCCGGAAACTTTTTGTAAATGGTGAACAAACTTTATTTCTGAGGAATTTCAAAAAGAAATTTGAAGTTAGTGGTGAATTATATATAATACTTAATCCAGTATTAGAAATTAAAGGGTTAAAAAAACTGAGACACTTAAGAAAAAAAAAAAGCACTTCCAAGCAGAACATAGGATGGGCAACAAAGTAATGTTTTTGGACTTGATTTTGCCAACATAACAAAGTCCAAAAATTCGTACCTTAGCCTCATTCAATGATTTTCATATGCTGGTGTCATTTATGCTGGCGTTATCCGTTTGGCAAATGAAAGAAAACCTGGGACCCGTTTCTCGAAAGTCCCGGTAACTTTTCGGGCCCGAAATCAAATATTCAAATCGATATATAAAGAATAAGGGCGCGGGTCCTGGCTAGCAAACAACTCCATTTTGTTTCACTAATTGATAGTGAAATTGATTGTTATCATGTTAGATGCAAAACTATTGAAACCTTTATCTTGCATGTAAACAACAACAGCTTTACCGGCCCGTTAACATATCGGGGCTTTTGAGAAACGGACCCCTGGGCCGATAAGTGATCATAACTTTACAAAGCCTTGAGAAGGAAACATAAGGACAAACAATTCGAGGACAAAGTTGGAAGTCGGTTGGAAGTTGCAAGTTGCAAGTCGGAAGTCGGAAGTTGAAAGCCCCTCTTCTGCTTTCGCATTAATTTATTTCCCAGGCGCTGTTTGATTGATTAATATCCCGCTTCATTTTGCCTACACCAGCGTCAACATTCAGCCCAGCGATAATGTGGCTTGGACATTGAACAAAATTAATAATTTACCAATGGTCTCCTTCCATCACTTACCTCACTAGTTTCTCTTTTGTTTCCTTTTCTTTTTTTTTTTTTGTAACCTTTCGAAATTATTTTAGGTACAGACGTGCCTATTTTAGGTGCGTACGTGTGTAAAACCTTTGTCTTAACAAAACATCCTCTTTCGCAAAACAAACCTAAAAAAATAGATGACGTCATTAGCTACAATATATTTAACAATTATTCCACGAGCCAGAATGGGCTCTGAGTCAATAGCCCATGAGGCCGTGAGGGCGAGAGGAATAACTGTTTTAGTTAAAACCAAACAGTTGGTCAAAAATGTCGAGACAAAACATCTTTAGCTAGTTAAATTTAGACTTAAACCCTTTTTTGCCTCCAAAAAGCCGGTGCTTTCGCTACTAGTGGGCTATAACATATAGCCTAGTAGTAGCTTAACCAATCATAACGCAGCATTGATAATAGACCACTAGCTGGATTTTACTAAAAGTGGTTGTTTTGGGGATCGAGCGGACGTTCAGGATCTTCCTTAGGCGCGACTCCAAACTTTTTTTTTTAATTTTCTTACCATAAAAATAATTAAATAAATAAACGGTGCTAACTTTCCTCACTTGCAGCCAATGGCTGAATTGCGGAGGAACCAGACAGGTGAGATCGGTGAGATTATTCCCCGAGGTTAAAACCAATTTAAAGATGGTCCTATTCAATTAAGCCTCATTTTCTTACTTGGGCTCCCTTGCCTCATCTTTTATTTTCAAAATTTATCTATATATCTAACTTGTATGGCAAAATGATAATAAAACAATAAAACAAAACAATATTTAGTCCAAGACCTCAAATCCATGTTGACAGAAGCGTTTAAAATTGAGGATTGCAGTGACAGCTCTTTGTAAATAGATTCAGCGACTACACTAGGTCTCTTTTTACGCCCTGTGATTGGCTAGAACTTATGTTCGTGCATTGTTCGAACCCAATCGTAATTCGATTGTTAAGGTTGTGCTACATTATATAGTAAAAATGTAAAAATTAAAGGGAACGAATTAAAGCCCGCTTAACGTTTTTATTTTTCAGTCATAACTAGTTCGTTGTTTAGTCTGTTTCTTTTGAAATTACATTAAACGTCAATAATTTTAGTTCAGTTTTCTTGCTCTAAACTAGTTTCTTTTACTTTGTTTATTTATTATATTTGTGACAGCGTTCGTGAATCTCTGGAATATAGGAATCAACTTGCAACTCTAAACTTTGAAGTTGCGTAGTGATTACTACTTTTATTAAATAAGCACCTTGCCTAGCCTTGTGTTTGCGATCATTCCGAATTACAAGGACATTGTATCAATGCAATTTTAAAAAATAATATTAATAAAATAAAATGGAACAATCCAATGATATAAAAACATGGTTAAGTTTGTCTGCTCAATTCATCGATCCAAATCATAACTGGTGACCTTATATTACCATCACCGCGAAAAAAAAATACGAGTTTCTCTCCGAGCATTTACAGCAAATTCAAACATAGTTTCCACGTTAAATTGAGTGAGAAAAAAATATATAAATATTCCAATAAGATTAATAAAAATAAAGCCCTGTGTCTGCGATCGTTCCGAATTACAAGAAGCTTGTGTAAATGCAAAATGGAAATAATAATGGTAATAATAATAATTATAATAATAATAATAATAATAATAATAATAATAATTATAATCTCAATGACGCAAAAAAATAATAACAAAAATCATCGATTTAAATCATAGCTAGTGACCTTATATTTCCATTATTGCAGAAGAATTATTATTGTCTCCGAGCCTTTATGGCAAACTCAGACATATTCAAAACTGAGTATTGCTCATCCCTGACTGTAAATAACACAAGTCAGTAAATCATACATTGAGCGACATTGTTGTTTATGTTAAGGCTTGAGCGAGAAATCTCGCGAATTTTTTAGAATGTGA